ATATTTATATTTCAAGTTATTTTTTGGAAGTAGTGCCTCCCATAAAGCTTCCACTTTTATTACCAAGTGGTTTCAAGTTTGAAACTTGAAACTATGGCTCCAGAGTAAAAAATAAAGAGAAAATGGGGTCACCGATTTGTCACCCCCAGTATTTGCATTATTTTTCTTATTTTTAACTTCTTCGTCAGTTATGACACTGAGTTTAACATATATTCAGTTTCTTGTGTCTGAGAAATACAAATTATTATAGTGTATAGTTATTTTATATAGTAAATATAGTACTAAAGTTTACAAATGCAAACGAATTTTCAAATATTATTTTCTCTTTACTACAGACCATATCTATTTCACTGATGGTTGCTGCAGCCATGCAACATGAGCATATTTAACAAGGTTTTTGTTCACGATCTTTTTACGCATCACTCTTCTTGGTAATGAAGATATGAGTCCTCGTAAATGACGCCCCATCCTGTGTATCAATGCCGAAAGGGTGTATGACTCGGAGCCCACTCAGTACATCTGAAGAAACTTTGGAGATAAGGCGCCATGGTGCCACGCTTGATGGACCCAGAAGTGGGCGATTCTGAGTCTTTAGTAGAGATGAACGTGGACTAAGTAACCCCAACTATCCTCCCTTCAACATCGGATCAAGAGGTAGAGTTTCTCGGTTCTCTAACTCTTGATATTTCTGACACACCTAGGACACTTGGTGATGTAACCAGGAAGCGGTATATCACCTCTTCAAGAGCAGAATATCTTATGAATCCGCCTTGCACCAAATTCTTGAGCGTCAAAAGCAGAACCTTTATCAGGATAGGAAACAAAATCTTCCTGTGCAGGTCATTAAAGGCGTAAAAGCCCTGCATGGCTGAATTTAATGTATCGTCATGTAAAGCAGAATTGCAGATGCCCTCATATGGGAAGGTTGCTGCCGTCATCAATGTGGGAATCTTGCACCTTAAACATTCGGCAACCTCAATACCGACCGATCAACCGGAATATTGACAGAATTTCATTATGGCTGCTGTGTGGTTCACCTATCTGAGGAAGGTAATCGTACACTGACCATCGATCAGGTTCTTACTAGATTGAATCAAATGTACCATGGATTCTTCGAAAGGAAATTCAGACCATGGTTCTCATTCTATGTGTGTGCCTTTCCGCGGGCCGAACAAAATTTTCAGCGTTTGGCGAAGTTCCCAACTGGTCATTTGATCTGAAAGATATATCACTTACCAAATAAAATAATCGATTTCACTAAGAAGTTGGATTCATTTGGTCGTGTTTGAATAGATGTGAAACACAATAAACACTCGCGGGTTATAGTAAAGGGTAGAATAGAGTAACTCACTTGGGATCTACCGAATCACCACAATATTCTTTGCTTACTTCTTTTCATGTTCTCGAGAAGTAAATTGTTTCAGAACCGTACAATCGAAACTGACCCTTTATTGGTCGATATTATTGAGTGTATGCGGGCTACTGTTTTTTAATGATATCAAAAATATCACTTCATTAATATTTAATCATTAATATTAGCTGAAAAATAACAATTGTATTAAGCAAAAAAAAATGAAATTTCAATGAAATAAAATACAAGCAACAACCAAAAAATAAAAATAAATTGAACTAATAACGCGAGATGAAATTTAAAAAATTATTAACAAGAAATAAAAATTGAAAATTTCAAACCAAGTTACTTCACGACGTTTCGATTGTTAGTATCCACAATCGTCTTCGGGTGATAACAATGGAAGTCCGAACTAATAAAATATCAGACACCCTACATTTTGTTTTATGAGAGAGGATATTGGCAGATCAAGATTTTCAGATGATGTGGTGCTGCAGGTTTTTCCGGGTTTTCCTGCAGCTGAAAAAGCAAATGCGCCACTGGAATCAATGAAGTCGCCCCGGAGCGCCAATTAATTTTTGTTTTTGTTTTATAATTAATTTCATGATTTGTATTTCAGAATTATTAGTGAATATTTTGTGAAAAAATTCCGAAGTCACCGCGCAATAAGTATACTGGCAAATTATTTTTCGCAAACTATCGTTAAATGTTTAATCTATCCTTTCTCCATGCTATTGAAATTCAGAATAGTAAAAATGCTACAAGTTGGTGAGTAGCGATAGGAGAAGCTATATTTTATTTATTTTTGTCGGGTTAAATTGTGGAGTCCCTTAGCTAGTAATTCATTTTTAATAATAATAATCCAATTTTCACACATCAATTGAAAAATTTGAATCTAATGATTAGAATGGAATGGTTGTTCATTTAATCATCGGTCTGCATACGATTTTTGCAGCAATAATTCAAAATATTGGTAACAGCCAAACAAATCGTAAGAGGAAAAAATTTTATAGAGGTGAATGTCATTGTCACTGCTCATTTTATAAAAATTCTCCTCCATTAAGTTCATAAATCTTGCCGTCCAGAACTTGATAAGCTATTACAGAAGCCAATTACTTGTTTCAGTATCGAAGAGAAAGATCATTTCAGAGCGATGCACTTTGAAAGCGCTCAGAAATTTGCATCGTAGCAGGGCCATCGTGTGTGGTCCATATACGAGTATTCACTTGCCAAGTAGTCGCTTTTTATGCACAATGGAGAGGAGGTTCATCCTCTTACGGCGCGTCCTAAAAATATAATCAAGTTGAAGAAATAAAATTCTGTTCCAAGTCATGAATGAAACCGTCCTGTTGTTGTTTAATAAGGTGTAGATAATTTGTCGTCATAACAAAAGATAATAGTTTGAAGTGGAATTGAAACGATATCTTCTTTTTATCCAATTCAAATTCTTTAGTTTCCTTCAGATAAGTGAGTACTAAAACAACTAAAAAGTACAAGGTATATTGAAAAAAGCTACGGATATATGGAATCCTAAAATGTGTGAGAAAAAGGGATACGCATAGTAACAAACACAACACATAAAAATGGCGAAATATTAACAGTCGGTATAAAAGTAACATAACAACCATGATTGGAACCACTGGCGTAATATGAATATCTATAATGAAAAATGTTCCTACACTAGAAAACTACAGCACTTTCTAACGATAATAATAATAATAGCCTTTATCACACAACAATTGAAAACTATTTACAGGGTTAATTAAGTATGGTACGAAAGTGATATAGGTGCTTATAATTACAAAGTTGCAATTTGAGAATATGAAGAACAAAACTAAAATAAAAAGAGGGACAAACATAAAAATATATACCCATACAATAAAACTATACTAGAAATTTAAAAGTCTCCATGAGGCAGTAGAAAGTTTTTGTACTTCTAGTTCTAAAATGAGGCACACATAAATTTATAAGAGATGAAACCTCCACATTGCTGTGCAGTAATTTGTATAGAAAAATTATACCAGCAAGTTTTCTGCGTAACTCAAGACTTTCTATATTGAATGTTACAGTAAGAAATTCATATGGAATACCTCTATCGGGATAGATTCCATAAGGTAACTATAACCATAAACTCTTAATGCTAACTTGGCATGTGTTGCCATTAGATCAAGAACAAATAATAGAATGTCTTAATATACAGGGTGTTTCCTAACTACGGTACGAAACTTTAGAGGGTGATTCGTTAGGTCGTTTTGAGAGAAAAAGTTCTTATGAATATATGCCCCAAGTTGATTCGTTTCTGAGATACAGGGCGCTGAGGTTTAACAAACTGTACTTATAAAATATCATAAACATCCTTACACCGATCTGGTTGAAATTTGCTACAGATTGAAATTATTGGGTCCAGTGGAGTCTCGGTGGGCACCACAGCTAACAATATTGGAAAAAAAGCATGGCACTGACTTGTAGTTTTTTATTCTTTCCGATTATTCAACTAAAAATACAACTTTTTTGTCGCTTGTGTTCTGGAGACCAGCTGACAGTGATAGTGTTGTCACATCAGTGAAAGTCAGAGTTGTCAATTAGCAGTGATTCCATGATAAATAATTTTACTAACGTTTTACTAACCGTTTTTTTAAACTCCAACGCCCTGTATCTCAGAAAAGAAAACTCCGCACATATGTTCATATACGAGAGAATAGAACAAACATAAATAACAATACAGATAGTAGAAAAATATCAGCAGTGAAATGGTTTTTCAACAGTTCTAAAAAACCATGTCATTTAGTACCGGGACAAAGGTGGAGTAAAAAATAAAATAAATATTAAACATAGTAGAACCTAAGGCAAGGTGTGAGTTCATTTCGAGTGTTATTCAAAATTAAAATATGCAGGATATAGGCAGTTAGAAAGAGTTGATATCTCAGGATAAGCATTTGCAGCCGACATTAACGAGTATAGACAGTTGCAACATTGAACTACACGTCCTTGTTACTAACAGAAAGACAGAATAACAAAGTAAAGTATCTTGGAAGTGTACTGAGAAGTATACAATCAAGAAATAAAGTCAGTAATAGATTTTATTGAAACAAGACAACTCAGTTGGTGGGAACATTTCCAGTGTATAATACAAGATCTTTGAAAATGATATGAAAAGCAAAAATAGAGAAGAGACGAAAAAGGGGGAAGACTTAGGTGAGCATAGAACAAAGAATAAAATTTCAGAAAAGTAACGAATGAATTGGAGCAAATGACCAAAATTTTACAGTAGTATGGAGAGGAGGCGTTGTAAATATAATGTAAAATTTACCCTATCCAAGTTGTATGTCGAATGAAATTATAATAATAATATTTCTTTGCTAAAAACAACTACAGTAACCAATGTCAACATTACAAGCAAATAAAGAGTTAGCCACATAAAGCATTGCTTTGTATAGTGATCATTGTCATTTTATATGTCACAAAATATTTTTGTAGAATATTAATGAGTCTTGACTATTTGAATTATAATTTCATTTACAAACTTCTTGACAGTAAAACTGAAAATGATTGAATACTTGCACTGTATTTTTACTTACAACATTTCTTGAATATTTCACTACCTGTTAGAATAATGATCACATGAATATATGGTATAATTTTGTTACAGATTCCTGTTTGAATTCTCTGGAGTGGTGCAAGTTAGCTTATTGGGAGATGTCAGATCGAGTAGGTCCACTGTATCCTGTTGAACCTTCGGCTGTGAATGTTTTTAGTGACATGCTCCATCCCGATGGTCTTAGTTTAGAAACCTTAGCTCAGCATAGTTTTAGCCCTACTGGGCCAGCGATTCAAAAAACTAGGTGTAAAATTGGTTTAGGTAAGTTTCACTTGCATTTTTTTAAATTATAAAGGTATATGTTTTTTTTTTTTTTCGATTACCCAGATTGTTGGTTCAACGACATTTTCCATTTTGTATATCCTTCATAACCGTAAATCAACATTTTTCACTTCATCTAAATGATAACTCTGCTAAATGACCAGAAGAACAGAAAAGTGCCCCACAACACCTACTATTGGAACACGATGAGGGAAAATATTTCCACATAATATTGTTCATTAAAAGTTTACTGGAAGGTTGAGAGGCATATCCAGCATATTTCATGAATTTGATGACTACATTATAGTCATTTTGAATTATCCTTAAAGAATAATTTACAATGAATTCTTTAGTATTTTTTCCTTGAACGAAACTTTTTAATTGATCTTCGTTATTTACTCAAGCTGGTTTTTTTTTTGTTTTACGTCAGCAAGAATGTAAATCTTCTCATTTTGTAGATCTGTTCAGCAGTTTTTCAAAAAATATTTTTCTGGAGATGCAATTGGTTGCAATCAAAAGTTCACACGAACATCCAATCTGCCTGTGTGTAAAGGAATTCGTCTGCCTGCTACCAGATAATCTGTAGATGACCTAAGAACCCATTACATATTTTTTATAATGGGCAAGATGCATAGGTACAGGTAAAATATGTTTACAAAACACTTGACATTCCGCACTTTTGATAAACAGATCTAGTAAATGATGCAAAGTCACATTGCTTGACAATATCAAGTTATCAATTCAATGTTTACGTTAGGTAATGAAGTGAATGAAATATTTTATGTAATATTTATAAATCAAGGAACTGAACGATTATTTGTAATTTTGGGGGTTGATGCATATGTGGTATTCGAAAATAATGGTTCAACATTTTCCATGTTGGAATTATTTGAATTCGTTTTTCATTTCAGCCTCTATTTACAAGTTTCTGAAACCAATTAATTTCCTGTTCTCAAAACCGAAAATATAATTGCATTAGTGGTCAGAAGTTACAAACACCGGAGTCCTGGGCTTTTAGGGAGACTTGGCTGGTGGCAAATAAGATGGTAGATTTGAAATGAGCCAACATTGAAAGTCGCCGGAACCAGATGGCATTTATCCAGTAATGCTGCTGAATCCAGCCGCTGGATAAAATAAAGCAAATCAAAAAGTGTTTTTACACTACATTCAGCGCAGTGCTTTTCGCTTTTTCATCTTAGATCCTAGAGGCAAACAATGTTTTTCAGAATTCGGTTCTTCCACTATCTATCAACTTTTATACAAAGTTATGTTAATATATCTGATCATGCTTCAATCTCTTCAAAAGGTTTTGACAAAATGAAAACGAATTTCTGACAACACCAGGGTTAATATGCATTTTGATTAGGGGGTTTTTGGGGGTATTGTTGACATTAACTAAACATTTTTTTGTTTTGTTGCAGGAATAACACTGTCGCACGAAGATGACTGCGTTTGGGTGTACAATCGCTCAGACAACCCAATTTTCGTGCATTCGCTGGCTTTGGAGGATCACGATTCTCCTTCACCTACACGAGTACCTGCCGAGCACTGCCTTTGCGTTTACGATTCCTTCAAGGCGGCTCAACAAAATTTCGGATGGAACTTCACCCATCCCCACTTAGGTCCCATCGATCCGAATTCCATTAGGATCAGCTTTGTTAAAGGTTGGGGCCCTAAGTATGCCAGAAGAGAAATCACCTCTTGTCCTTGCTGGTTAGAAATTCTACTCGCTCCATGCAGGTGATCAAAAACTTACGTTTCAGTCGAAAGAAAATCGAAGAAAGAAATGAAGAGAGTTATCGTTATTTTGTTTTGGAAGAAAAGTGTACAAAATAACTTAATCAAATGTGATTTAAAATGCGAGTTTATATTGTACTAAATAGAAGCAAGGCTGACAGATTGAAATTGTTTTGGTACAGAAGGGAGTTGATGAACTGTGCTGTAATGTTGTTTCCGTCCGACTTTTATAATTTTGTACAAGGGAACAGCTTGATTTAGCATTTCGCAGTTGATATAGAAAAGTATATTACTTTGTATTAGTTGGAATCTTGATAATCATGAAACAGATTGAAATATTTTTGATTTTTTTTATATCACTCACCGAGAGAAAAAGTTGTGGAAACAAAAAATGTATGCAGTTTTGTAATGTAACAATTTCCTGTTTTCATTTTGTTCGGCAAAACTATTTTATTTTTTACTTGTATTTACAAATTGAAAGTACTTTGCAACATGGCAAGTAACAAAAAATAAAAATATACTGTTGTAAAAATTGTATTTAAACATTTTTAAACTAATTAGAAACGTACTGATGTAAATTATTAGGAATTTATGAAATGCCTTATATACATCTTCAGCTAAGATGTACTTTTGAAGGTTAGACTTGTAAAGATCTTGTATTTTTGGTGCTTCAAGACATTTTCGAAATGTCTGCGTAGTCAGGGACCATAACATTCGTTTTTCACTTTTTTTTTTGAAAAAGCAATTTATTTTTTATATAATTTCAAGTACAAACAATACTCCAAATGATACAAGTTTTCACATAACTGATCAATAAAGTATCAGTTTTATTGTTATTTGTTTTTGGAATTCTTGTATGAAGTAACTATTTTTGCATCAAGTAAGGAAAATGCGAGTTTTTTTTTCAATGTGATAGGTGGAATGAACATTTTCCATTACATGCTGCATCTGTAATTTTTTCTACGGCCGTTTGGGTCAGTCTTCAAGATACATTTGAAATTATGAATTTTGTTATACCTAATAATTTGTGAATACTTTTTTCTTGTGAAGTCCAAATATTTTCTGAATTTTCAGCAACTTATATTTTCTGTGAAATAGAAAAACCGCCTCACGGAAGTAGAAAAAATCAATTGTACTTAGTATTTGTTATGTTTCATTGTCATTTGTTACTTTTTCTTCTGAAATTGAATATGTCACTAGTCAACTTTACGCTAGGTCCAGCCATCAAACTGTAAATTATAGAGTGCCTTTAACAGCAAATATTGTAAAAATCAAAGTATATTGTACCATAATTGTAGAAATTTGTAATTAATTTGTTTATTATTTATTAACCCATTCAATTATACAATTTTGTATATCGAAATAAATTTAATATAAAAATTTCCAGGATATATTATTTAACCACATATTTAATTTTATTATTAAATTATTGCAACAATTTTTTGTTTTGTGTTGAGAACACTATAAACACAACTTTCCTTTTAGAGAAAGATCCTATTTGATCATTGTTGTACCAAATCAGACCACATATTATTTAAAGTTCATTGGTGTCAAAAAGTCATATATGTCTATTTATATGACGCATAATTATACAACAAAATCAAACAGAATCTAGTCAATTTTATCACAGAAGTACCTAGTATCAAATACTCAAATTTTATGTTTTTAACTGCAGAGTTATGACAATCAAAGTCAGAAAAATGTATATATTGTTCAAAATAGTATGGCACTAATAGGACTTGAAAGTCCTCAATCAATGAATAAAGAATTAATGAAATCAATGAACCATGTTTTATTTCTTGAATTTAGGTGTTAATGCCTCGAATCATTTATACAGTTTCGATCGCTTCTCGGTCTGTGGCTAAGATCAAAAGTAAATCTAGTTACTTGAATCACATAAAAGAGTGTCAAGGTTTATGTTTGTAAACTGGCTGTAAAGTTCATCTGTGTTTATAGGAGAACTTTGTTTTATATGGAATTTCTTCCTGTTGGTATCTGAAAAAAACATATCCTATTTAGATAATATTACCAACACTTAGTGCTGCTCGAATATATTATCACACGAACTACATATGCCATCAAATAGTTCAATTGGCAGTTTTTAATCATTTTCTCTTCATGTATTAATGAAAAAGTAGAATCCAAAAAAGGTTTTTTCCATAAAATAATCTCTCTAATCTTATTTCATAGAAATCGTGTCTCTAAAATAGAAAGGTAGGGTAAAATTAATATCAACACTTCATAATTGTTAAAAAAAAGTCATAAGTATTAAAAAAAAAAACTCCTTTGTTTTATTGTCATTTCGAAATGATCAGAAATGGTATATAGCTTTTGTAAAACAAATATGAAATAAATAAATGGATTCAATTTGAAGTCATTAGACGTTATTTGTTTCCATGGTGCTGTGTATATTCGAATTTTCATGAACTGTTTTGATGTTTCAAATAATTTTTGTGTTCAAAAAAATATTCGAATTCTGATTAAGATATATCAGTTGGTTATTCCTCTGAGTCGAACAAAAAATTTACTCTATTGAAATCATCGAATACCTGAAAATAAATATAGAAAATTGATTCAAATTGTATATGGGATTCAATAATTTTATTTTCAATGAATACTGTTTCAATGATTGAGATCGACTGAAAGAGTTCGCTGTTAAAAACCCTTTGGTGCATTTCTCATGAATGATGTTCAGTCTTTTATATACTTAGTGGGCTCACTAGCATATGAATAATTTTAACACAGTTATTCATAGTTTCAAATATCCATCTTTCAATCCTCTTTCTTCTCTCAACAAATCTGGTATCTTGTTTTTCATTTGATGTACGGTGTTCACATAAAAAAATCATTCATTTGCACCTTGTTAATGGGTATTATAAGGAATGAAAACGTTTCCAGTAAGAAACAAATTTTGTTTTGTCAACATGAACAGTTTTGACTATTGTCTACCTGTCGTAGCACTTCAGTTCACAAAATTAACCATAGGTTTTAAAATCTGTTTTTCCGTTAATCAGCTGCCGCCCCCATACGAACGACAACTCTCAGAAGTTGAGAAACTTGTGCGAGCTAAGGACTAACGAGGTCTTACCTTTTAACGTGTGATTTCTAACACGGTTGCAGAATCATTCCAGCTTCAACCAGATAAATTCTCTCGAGAAAAATATCTGGTCGAGGCGGGAATCGATAACAGTAGGACAAAGTGGGAAAAATTCGAATATCCAACATATTCTTCATCTTCTGAAGTCGCCAACTTGGTTGGTGGAACGTGCGCTTCTGGCGATTGGAAAAAGTGCTCATTTTAAATAAAGAATCTGTTAGACTGTAAAAAATGCAAATTCAAAAGTTTATCACGAAAAGTTACTGCATTATATAAATCACTGAAGAGCACGGCTTACATTGAAGAATATTCGCAAAGGGTAGTTATTGAAATTTCAAGTTCAAATATTCCCATATTGATTTCAATTTAAGAGCCACCGGTAGACAGCTGTTTCAGCCTATTGGGCATCGTCAGTACTATATATCGGTCGGTAGCCAGGCGGTTCGGCGTGGGTGCTTTGTTCACTCACTCGAATTGACTGCCGTGTTGGTCGATGCTTCAAGCCCTAGTGTGAACGATCGATTTTCACTTGCTATCGTCCAATCTGTGTTAGGAATCACACGTTAAAAGGTAAGACCTCCTTAGCTCGCGCAAGTTTCTTATTCTAAGGGTTGTCGTTCGTAGGGGTGCGACAGCTGGTTAACGGAAAAACAGATTTTATATATATGCTTGTTTCATCAAAACTTTTATCACCACTTTCAAAAGTTTTAGGTTATATGCTCACTGTCAACAGTATATGTTTATCGCACACTAAACACTGAGTCATGCGAAGAAAAGAGAGAGAAGCGTCTGCCCGACGAAAGATAATGAGCCTGCCTGCCGCTGCCGCATGCATGAGAGAAAGGGAAGCCAGACAGACTGGCGCCGTAACGCGTTACGTAGCAGTCAACCCTCCCATAAGAAGTTATCACTTCAAAAATAACGATGGCCAGATCCAGAAATCAAGTGACGTGCGGTGCGACGTGATCTAATAAAGCGATAGAATAAAGCGTTCTCGAATTGGAGAAGGGAAAAATGGTAAACGTTATACAGGGGTGGTTCAAAATTTTGTTTTCGAATTGTAGGGAGACGTAGCCCTCACAAAAAGACTACTACCCATACAGATATTGAATTACATCCGACATTTATTTATGCAATGTTCATCAAAGGAGACATTCCCTAAAAAAACAATTATTCACCCATACAGAGATTGAATTACATCCGACAGCACAATCTTCAAAGGGGATGTTTGGATGATACTCGGCTGTATCATATGTGTAGTAGTCCTTTCATTTTAACGTGCGATCCCAATGAGAGACGTATACAGGGTGTCTCAAACGTCAGGGCGCTACGTGTAATGCAGTTGACGTTAGAAGTTGGGCAATGAGGGAGCGAAGTATCCAGCAATAACATATGGCTTCTCAAAATACGTCAGCATGTATTACGTTTTGTGTGCGTTTTGTGGCCCTTGCCCAAGAAATGTTCATATTAGAAATATAAAGTGAAGAAGATTGAAATCAAACTTAGCATTCAGAAGTTGTATTTATTACATGAACAGATAACAATAAAAATATATATCCATCTGCAAGAAATAATAATATTTTCATTGCATTAATGATGGATTGTTCAGTTATGTTTAATAAATAATAATTTTACATTTTTCGTCTGTCCGTCTAGTTTTCAACAAACTTGAGAATTGTTTACAGTACCTATTTGAACGTTTGAATTCGCAGCAATAAATTTAAGATATATTCCTTGTGATTACAACAAATCGCATTTGTTGTATACCATTCGGGAAGATATTTTTATATATGTATATTCTTGATAATTTTGTTTTTCAAATATATTATTTTTTTGTCAAATTTTTGCATATGTTTTTATCGAAAACTGTCAGTGCTAACATAATGGATTTTTTCAATAACGATGTTGGAGTTTTCAAACCACTCTCATATTTTCAAATCGTAATTTTTATAAAATATTAAAAGCTCTTCTTCATTGTCAATGTCCTCAGAAAGTAACTTTACAGTCTTTACATTTAAAATGATTGAAACATTTCTTGATCAAATAACCAATAAACAACGGGAGGTTTTTCTAATATGGCATCATAATTCGAATGGACTACAGGACAATTAGAAGAACTGCTGGATGAATCCGTTTCTAAAGATGACGATACTTCTTCAACATTAAACAAAGCAAGTGCTTAGAACAAGAGCCTGACTAGCAGTAGCAGATTTCCTCCCAAATTCGCCAAGATCCTCGAAACCATCAATGATGTCGGTTTTTCTATTGTACTCAAGACTCCTCTTTATAGAAATTTCATCGAATATTATAATGAATTTCTTTTCGTAAGGCATCATCGTATCCGCCTTCAAAGTGTTATTCATGAAAATTTTTCTATTGAACCCGGGTTTGCAGCAGAAATTGGTAATCCATGATTTCAAAGTTGATACTGCAGGCAACGTAAATCCTTGTTGATGTAAATATTTATACGTTTTATGTTCCTTATAAAACAATGATAGGGCAGTTTTTTTTTTATCAGTGGGTGACAATGGGGATTTCAGTTTATGTTTCAACTGCATATTCACAAGAGATTTTGTGAATATGTCTATATCTACTGGCCTACTTGACGTTTGATGACAACCATAAATTATGATCATCGATGAAACATTCCTGCTATATTTCCATATTCTGAATTGATTACAACAGTTATACAGTAAAAATTCATACGTTCACTCTCCTCAGAGCACCTTATTTGGCGTATGAAGTAGATAATACTTAAGACTATCTTCGGGTTGTCAGATGTAATTCAATCTCTATGGGTAAGTAGTTGTTTTTTAGCAAATATCCTCTTTGATGAACATGTCGGATGTAACTCAATGTAATTGTAATTGGGAAGGACAATTTATATTTGAAATAGTTTTTTATTATTTAAAATTGTTACCTTCTACAGATCTATAAAATAATCAGAATAATACATTTACAAATAAATACAAATGTAGAAAGGGCAAAAAGTTACTGCATTTGATAAATTAGCTTTTTGGAAAAAAAATCAAATTTGTTATTAACTTGAATTTGAAAAATTTTGCATATTAAAAGAAATCAGTATCATATGGTGACGTTTTAAAGAATGTATCCATTTTCTTTATCCAACCTAGTTGAATCAAAACATCATAATTTTTAGTTATGATTCGTCTTTTGATGTAAATAAATTTGATATTATTATTATCATTGACACTGATAATATCAAATTGATCGTCGGTGAGATAATGAAGATGGATAAAGTATTCGAAACATCACCAGATAAGTATACAAGTAGAATAGATTTCCGCGGTTAGAAATTTGAACATCTGATTTCGAGTTGAACCGCGTTTAAAAATTTGCGCTGTTCGATGTTTCGGCTTCGACTTTGACATTTTCAGGAAGTAGAAAAGTGTGGCTGTACTGAGAGATACACTTTATATATTCTTGTTGGTTTGGAAATGAAGATTCATATTCCTTATTCGATTTTATAGTTGATTCAAAAACAATTTTATAGATTTAATGGAATACTTACTTCGAATAAGACATTGCGATAATTTTAATCTGAAAAGTCTACAGGGATTCGTTGAGTGATTCTTGACTGGATGAGTCTACGCAATCATCCAGATCCCACATCTCTGCTTCGATTCTGATTGTTTTGTGGATATACTTTTCTCAAGCTTTTTGGTCGACTGTTTCCAGAGCACTGTATAGGTATTTCTTTACTTCACACAGCTTAAAGGTCTCATTATTCCTTGCGATGAATCATTTAACTTGAGTCCAAACCAACTCTATTGGATTCAATTCACAGTGATAAGGCGGCAACCAGTCTTCGCCATCTCACCGGTGACATACCTGACGAATTTTGACTTATGACGTTTAGCCAAGCTGAGGAGTTCCGCTTTTAACATGGTCGATTCAAAAGGAATAGCTTTCATTTGTAACCACTCAGTAATATCTGCTTTCTTCCAACACGACGTCGGCAGCTTCTCTACTCGTCCACTGTGGTAACTTGCGATATCAGTCTGTTGCCATTTCGTCACTATCCAAAGTTTTCTTCAAGATGGGTAGCCAAGTACGGTCTATTTCTAAGGAGCTATTCGAGATACAATTCTCTCCAGACATGAGAATATTTAAAATAGATTTACCTAGTGCTATGACTTTCTTTATTTCTCTCAAATAGTTCCTTCTCCATTCAACAATCTCTGATTTTTCTATTAACATGCTCTTTCTATCTTGCTTTACAAAAGTGAAATTCAGCTCATGTAATACCTTCCATAATCGAGTTCTCCTCGTATCAGGAAAAAAACTGTCTTCACGAATAACTGACAAACCTTCATTTAATGAAGGTATTTCGTTTTTTTATGTAAAAAGGGTGTACTGTTCTCCTAATAGAATTCTTGACTTCTTCATCGATAACCAAACACTTTTTACGAGTCGATCTTTTGACACCGGTCATACTCGCGCATTTTTGCACTACTTCCTCCTTACTTTTTATTTCGGGCGGATATTGTATTCTTAAAGAATTATATACATTCATAACAATTGTTTTTTCATTTATATTTAATGGTGACAATTTTGGACGCTTCACGATTCCCGAACAACTATAGTCCGTTCATAATTTGTCGATAGCACAAAATGAGGGCCCAAGTCATAAAACGGTCGTAAAATTCGTAAAATCATAGGCGGAGGTTCCTGAGGTGTTTATTCATTAAATATAAAGCTTCAGTTTATATTCGAAACTTGCCTTGAAAGGGTGAAGTTGTTACGAACGAAAATAATTTTTGGTTTAGTACATTTTTTAATCGCATTTAATTTACGGCTTGTTGGTGTTTCGGCGTCTACGGCAGTAATTAACGTCTCTAATATTTATTTTGCGAATTTTGTGCAGTGCGTGAGTAACTTTTTTTCATATTCCTACAAACATATACGTACCTTTCGTTCCTGCTTGTTTTGTTTGATTGCTTGCGATGGCTTCGTCATCATCATCAACATCATCAAGTTTTACACCGGTACTGTTGCGTACAGTCAGTAAGTCTGTCTATTCACCAAGAGAGAAGACTATTGTTTTGAACGTTCACGATGCTCTGGTTTCTCAGAATCCCACAAACACTGTTCAGAACATAATCAAGAGTTGTGCCAACATGACGGGCGTAGGGGAGTCAACAATATATAGGTTCCTATCAGAAAGAAAAAAAAAAGGTATAGCTAACCCAAATACAAACGAATACTTAAAGAGGGGGAGAAAACCTATTGAAATTGATGAATTTGCCAAAAATGGTATTCGAAGGAAAATTCACGAATTTTTTTACAAAAAAGAAATACCCAACTTAAACAAAATTTTACAAGAAGTTAGAGACGACCCGGATTTGCCTCATGTCGGACGAACCAAATTGTGGCAAGTTTTAAAAGAATTAAATTTCCGGTGGGAGAAATCAGACCGAAAATCACTTTTGATTGACCGGGAAGAGATAATATGTTGGAGAAGAAAGTATCTAAGATCTATACGAAAATTTCGGGCTGAAGGAAGGCCAATTTACTATCAGGACGAAACGTGGGTAAACGCAGGTCATACTCTCACAAAAATTTGGACAGATAAAAATATATCAAGCTCCAGGCAAGCCTTTATGGAAGGTTGGTCTACTGGTATTTCCCCACCCTCTGGTAAAGGCAGTAGATTAATAGTTTCTCACATTGGCAGTGAAAAAGGATTTGCTAAGCATGGTTTGTTGGAATTTGAATCCAAAAGCACAAAAGACTATCACGAGGAGATGACAGCTGATGTTTTCGAAGAGTATTTTGATCAGATGATTGAACATATACCACCAAACTCAATTATAGTATTAGATAATGCACCTTATCATTCACGACTAGTTGAAAGACTTCCAACGACTGCGTGGAAGAAACAGGATATCATTGACTGGCTGCGGAATAAGTCCCTGCCTTACGAAGATGGAATGGTTAAAGCAGAACTTTTAAAAATTGCCCGGCAACACAAATCTAAGTTCAAGAAATACGTAGTTGACAAAATGGCGGAAAGACGAAACATCACAGTCCTTAGACTTCCACCCTACCACTGCGAATTAAATCCAATTGAACTCATTTGGGCACAAATGAAAAGCTATGTGGCTAGAAAAAATACGTCATATAAAATACAAGCTATACGTGAATTGTTATATGAGTCTTTACAACATATTAGAGAACAAAATTGGCGAGATGCAGTAAGACATGCAATAGAAGAACAAAAAATGTGGGATCTTGACAATATAATTGATGCGACTGTAGAGACACAACCGCTAATTATTAACCTGCAAGACGACTCGGATTCCGAAGATGATCCTGTTTATTTTGAATTTGAATAGTTTTGTAAGTAATCGTAGTTTATATCATTTAAAAATAGGTATTAATTAAATAAATGTATCTTTTACAAATTGCAAGTAACTTATTATTTTTGAATAAAATAAAGAAATTTTTTTAAAATAAAAATACAGTTTACAGTACCTACAGTTTAAGAATATTAATATATTTATTTATTTAAAGTAACTAATGTTTTAATCATATACTCTACGACACTGGTCACTCATTTCCACTCAAAATACCTACATAATCGGATTAAAAGTTTTATAGCTGTATTGTATTTCTTCAGATACAAGGTGGGTTAGTCGAAAACATCTTAAACTGCCAGTGTTAGTTTGGTTTTTGTTATTATATCCTCTGTATTTCAGTTCTCTAATGAGGGTCAAACTTGCAGTGAGCTATCAACAAATTATGAACGGACTATAGGTAGGTCTAAAGTGAGTGGGTCTATTCGACCCTTCCATGTTGTTTAACTGTTTATTCAACGCGCTCTCGAAGTAAACTTAAGAATATCACGAATACTCCCGCTAAAAAGCCAAGTCATTCTTATTGATGTGTGCGATGTGTCTGTTGACAGTATAATTCAAAGGAATATCTATATATATATACAATCTAGAAAGGTTAATGCAGTCATGCTGCTGGAAAATGATTCCATGAAAATCAAAAAATAAATAGATAAGTACTTTTTGATCATTCCCATATTGATTTCAGGCGGTCCTCGATTGAAGGCAAAATGAGAAAAAACCAACAAAGTACTTGGTACTTTCTTGTAGTAGTACCAATAGGCTGAAACAGCTGTATACCGGTGGCTCTTAAATTGAAATCAATATGGGAATGATCAAAAAGTACTTATCTATTTATATATATATATATATATATATATATATTAGTGCCATAGAAGTAGGTACTGCATTCAAATTATTTACTCTCAACGAATTGTATAAATGAATTTTTACGATGAAAATAAAATATTTATTCTTGAAAAATATCATTCATAATAAACAAAATAACAAATCTACTGTTACTGTTTTGAATTCCTGGACTAATTTATATTGACATTTATTTGTAGTAGTTGCTAAGATAAGAAAATAAATAAAGTATTGTTTTTTGACTCTCTGAAAATCGAATTTCAAAAATTATCAAAAATTGGTCATTCGGTCTGATATAAAGATAGCTTATAATTTTAGGTACGATTAATAATTAACATCTACTTTGACAAATGTTAAAATATGTCCAGTAGTAACGAAAACATATAGATATACTGCTGTAGTCTCTCTCATTTCTGAACAGATTATAGATTATATATACAAATCTAAAAGTTTTCAGTAATTAAACAACTAATGTTTTCACAGGTTGGACTCTGGAAAAAGGTGTGTGAACATCAACAAATATAGCCATCTCAATGAATATCCCCAATCTATACCTCTGATATCTATAAATGGAATTTTGACAAATAGTTGTTCTCATTTTTATTAATTTCAGATTGCCTGAATATCTTGTCAAATGGTTGTGTGTGTCACCATTGATTTTGAAAATCAGATTAATGTATCAACACCTTTCTACTGAATATAATAATATTTTCTTTGTTAATGTCAGAACAAAATTATACACTTCCTTTCATTTTATGAAAACGATTCCTGACTCGCATACTTTTTTTAGTACTATGTTGATTACACATTTCCATGTACCTACCTTGAAGGATCATTTTGTACCACCATTGAATATCTACTGAATGAATAGTGAATATTGCTATCCAATTCGACATTTATTATTCGATTATACGAGCAGTGTCCTATCGTCGGCGATATTATGTATGATTCTGTCACATTTACCTTCACTATGTACTGGAAACTCAATGAGTATTACAATCATCTCCCTTTTGATACTTCGATAACTGATATGGATGATACTGAAACCTCCAACCAAGGCCACATTTATCACTTATTGTTTATTTTTCACGATTCATTAACATTGGGAAAGAAAGGTTTTGGCTTTCTACTTTTCCATCTTTATACAAACAAATTCAAACAAGATTCCTATGGCTGGGATTTAATCAAATAAGCGTTATAGGTTGTGTCGGTGAAGGAATGTCATTACGTACTGTTATTGATGACATGAGTAGATTTAAGTCATTCGTGACATAAAGAAGTAATTTTATGAATGAATTGAGTGCTTCTTCTTATAATGTTATCCAGATTGGTGCTGAAGAAACAATAAGGCAAGTGTCTTATTCCGAAACACCAGATGTCCACAGTGTTCCATGTAAGTGAAACTTCACCTCTTTCATATCTGATTCAACTCCTTAACGAATGTTTGCAATACAAAGTGAATAGAGAAAAGTGTTTTTGTATAATTCAATGTTCATATAAAAATAGTTGTATCGAAAGTACTTTTTTATTTTAGTGTAACTCAATTTTTATATGAAGGTGTGTCTATTTCGAAAGGACATTTTTTTTCCAGTTTGTGTCTGAAAGTTTTCGGAATGATCTACACATCTTTGTGCATTGTTAATTTTTTGAAATTGAATGCTTTCTTCCTTTCTATGGAAGAGTCCCAATTTTTTTGTATAAAGATCGGGAAGTAGATTCCAAAACTGTTTCTTCCCAAAAATTAATGTCTCCTAAAAATATACTCCTTTCAATTTGATTCAGTGCCATTGAATCATTGGACAATGAATTCCAATCGCATGGGAGTGCTCGCCATATGCAGACACAAAGGTCAATAAAAAATGATGACATTTTGCAATCCTCTTTGTATAGTAACTCTGGGCAAATCTCATTTCCCGCGTCAATAGATTTTGACAAATCAAAACACCAAGGTTTCTGAGCATCTATCAAATGTAAATAATTTGGTAAATCTCATTCTCTTGTCGAGAATTTTTGACAAAATAAAAGCGAATTGGTGAAAACAACAGGAATTCTATGCATTTTGGGCTCGGCGAAAGGAATACGAAATTCAATGGAAACATCTTGGATGGGTCTGTCGGTATAATTGTAAATAATCGTTTTACCTCGAGGGATCAATTTGTACCACCATTAAATATCTAATGAATAATTACACATTCCCAGGCGCGTCTCTCAGAAACACTAAGTTGGCGGCATAATCAGAAAATAAACTTTACTAATTCCTTTCTGTTATTTCGCCTAACACTGCATAACAGGGTACATTTTCATGTTTAGGTCATTTAATGATTTCTAAAGTGTACAAATTGTCGAGAAATTTCTTGTGAAAGCTTCCGTTAATTTTGAAAGAGTGATTGATACAAAAAAAAAGAAATGGGCTATTTGGAATAGAACTGTTGTAATTCTTCATAGTTCTTATTCCCAGACTTTCGGAAGCATAAAAAATTTTACTGTCGTATACAGATCTCGAGAATATTAAGCAATGTTCTTTTATTTTATAGCTGTTTGAGCGACATTTCACTTTTCAGGTTTCCTAAATTGGACATGTGCAACGTGTTTTATCAACGAGTTTAAATAACTCTTTAATTATGAATAATATTTTTTCTCGCAGTTTATTTCACATATCCTTGATTTTTCTTTCTCCACATTGTCATTAGGGTTACTTCTTACTTCTGAAATGTTTAACTGAACAATGAACAATCAGTTTGAAAGCTACTTTCATGGTCAGCTCTTAAAAATTCGATATAATTCATCAGTGTACTTGGTTCATATGGAACAATAATGAAGTGAAAATCAAGGTCACCTTTGAATTATTGAAACAGTCAATTGGCGACAATTTATTTCAGATATACTTAACCAAAAATATTTAATTTTTCTTGCAACTACTATTCTTAGTGGTTATTTTTTAAACATATCCTAAAATATCGAGCGTGGCAACAGTGTGTATCTAATAAAAAAAAGTTTGGTTAAGTAATCAACGTTTAGGTTAAGATAGTAATAAATGTTAATAATTTGTGTAATGAATTAATAATTCATATAAAACAAGATCGTATTGAACCCAGAAATGAGTTTATTCCGTATTAATCCAAGTTTTCGCCCAAGATTATTCCAATGTAGAAGTTTGGCTACAGCTTTGAGAAATGAAGAGGAATATACATCAACACCCCAATACCCTCCAATTCTCGACCTATCTTTCAAAAAGAAACTGCAAAGAAAAAAAGAAGCGGTTCATGAAGAAATCAAAGGTGTTAAAACTATCGAAGAAAAACAAATTAAGCTGAATATGCCCAGATACTATGGGTTCAAAAGTTACCCACTTACAGAAAATTACAGCCCTTATGATAATTTAACACTTGCACAGCATATTACCAAAACGCATCTAATCGTTAACAATAACCTACCAGAATTTTATAAGAATATTGATGTTGACAAGCTAGTAACTGAAATGAAGTCCGAGATTGAGGAAGCGATTCTTATTGAGTTCGATGGATATTTGTAAGTACTAAAAATTGAAATGACTGGTGTCAGTTATCCCTTAATCAAAGAATAGGACATTAATTTGTATAGGAGTCTAGGCTTGAAGGCCTGGATAGAAAGTAGGTACAAATTGTATTGCAACCAGCTAAGGTATTCAAACTCGACCAGATATTAATTCAGTTTCTCAATGAAGCTCATTACTCCATTTGGTGAGTGATCAGTCAGCTGGTAGGAGTGGGACTCTGGCAAATACTGAAAATCTGTTGCAATCTGCTGCAAGACATGTTACTAATAGAACTTGGATGTCTTTGTGAACAATAATCCACTACGACTGACAGATCATGATACGTTTTACTGGTCTAGTAAAGACTTGATCAGTGGTTGGTGTGCGGAAGAAAGGTTTCTTGTAAAGCATTTCAGAAAGATGTCTTCCTATGGGTGCAGGCTACAGACTGCGCTTGCCAGTCAAAAGACGCTCTCCTGATCCGCTCAGATAACTTGTAGCCATCAAGGTCGGACTTGTGGATTATTTTTTGAAATATCTTCAGTGGCCATAATGGTATACTAAGGAAACCCCAGTTGTCAGTTGTTGGGAGATCCTCAGAAACATTAAATACCAATCGAATTCAAAGCATCAATAATAGGGAATTGGCAATGGTGCCGACTTAATTTGGAATACCCTGTATATCTATCTAATCATATATCTACGATTTTTTTCAGAGGCTTCAGTTGCATCATTTCTGTATTAATCAAAAACAACTTCGACTTTAGTGCCATATTAATTACATAGATATCTATCAATCATTTGTTATACTAAATAATCTTCTAAAAACAAAATCTAGCAAAACAGTTTTTTTTTATATATAAATATCATACATCTTGTTTCAAAATGTGAAAAAAAATTCCATGCTATAAATTATATAAAATAATATAACATCGACAAGAACTTCAAAATGAAATTTATCAAAATCGTAGCTGTTTCTGAAGACTTCTGGATAAAAGACTTTGTTGATTCAACTATTACTTTAGAAGCTAGAGTCATTTTGGTTGAGTTTAAATTGGTATGTGCCACAATTACCTCTTACTTGACCTGTCTACCTAATCAACTAATCACCTCCAAGGAGGCAGTATAATTATAGGGATTTCGCAAGCGGCTTAAGACAAGTCAATAGCATAAAATGAAATGTACAGAAATTAAGTTGGTCAAACACCACAGCTAATGCAGATTTGATCTTTATTTCCAAATGAAACTGAAAATTTGTCAAATTATCTAAAAGAACAATTTGTTCAGGCCAGTCTCGAATTACCTACACTGTGGGTTAATTGACTAACACCTATCAGAAAACAATTACTCTCCTGGCTAATACCACAGAGGGTGTTTGGTTCTATCCGATAGGCGTCAGTGCAGGATTTTTCACTGAAGTTATTCCTACCAATGCTGTTGGCGATGCAACTGCCCACTCAATTTGTGAAGTTTTCTTCCGTATACAAGGAATTGGACAAATTCGGATATGTGGTTGGTTACCTCGTTCACAAGCAGTTGTAACTAACATATTGTTTGTCATTCGCTTCTTCCTAGTTCGAGGAATGATAATTTGAAAGGAATTCTATTTTCAATTATGGGAAATCATCGACTTCATGTTGATTATAGACATTACCTTGCACTAACGAGTGGCCAAACACCCTGAAACCGGTCTGCAAGTGTGTTCTAATAAATGAAAATCGAATCTGGCAGTTGTATTGCCAACAGCCATGCAGGAATAACTCAGTGAAGAATCCTGAACTGACACCTGTTGGATATAAGATCTTGAGAAAATACATTTTTATAATCACGTTAGTTTATTTTGAAAGTCAGAAGTTTTTGGATGTCAGGTACAAATTTGCTAGTAACCTCATATAGATTGGAAATTTTCATATTCTCAAAATACAATTGCCTGATATTCAAATGAGAATTTAATTATTGAAATTTCATAAGAGAATCATTTGACGATTTTTTTGCAGTAGTGCTAACATGCCATTTCTTTAAACATTTAACTTTATGCAGGAGGACACACGATTTCAAAAAAGAAGACCTGAGTAAAACACAAAAAGAAGATATAATCAGTTCATCAGTAGCCACAAAAATAAATAGGATACTTATGAACAAGTTAGCTACAAATCATCCTCATATAGGAAATGCACAGGTAATAACAATTTCAATAGAATAAGATGTTGGTATTGTTGATGTTGAATTGACTACATTTCTGTTTAAAGTAGTTACTGTTTGGTATCAAATCGATACAAAAAGTTTTGAACAAATGTATTTCAACATTTTTCTTTGCAACAGTCCAATTGACAACTTTTATTCAACTTATCTGGTAGATGCCGCTCCCACCTGGCATCGTCTGGTGAGATACCATTGCAACGGCTTAGGCAATGTGAAGTTGCTTTCGGGTTAACGTTTCGTTTCTGTGCCGCTGTTTTCGGTTTCAAGAATGGAAATATCAGGAAAAATTTTCCTAACATCAGTCCACAGGGAAATAGCATGGTAACAGCGGTTGCTAAGAGGCCCACTAGCAACTTCAAAATCGATTTCTATAACATCAGAGGACTCAACTCGAACATAAACTCAGTGCACCAACATCTGCAAACAAATAGTCCTTATATTCTGGCACTCACCGAAACCAAAGTCAGTGCTTCAACAAATCCCGTCAATTTTCTATATCCCGGCTATAATTTCCACTTCCAATTCAGACGTAACTTTGGAATTGTTTTTATGAGAAGCGATCTATCCTGTCAACGAAGAGAAATACTGGAACCCCAAAAGTTTTATGTTATGTGGTTCAAAATAATATCACAGAAGAACACTGAATTCATATTCTGTGTTTATTGACCACCAAGTGATACACAATATAGAGCACTATTCTCTCCACTCGCAAACACCATTGACTTTTTACAAATAATCATCCCAGTGCCGAAATTTCCAAACTGGGTGACTTTAATGTCCACAAATATCGAACAAGGTCGCGAAGTTGATGCTTTTGCAATAAGCAGTGGACTTACTCAGATTATCATTATTATTCTTTATTAGCAAATAATGTTTTTCATAGTACAGTCAGTCAATTATAAAATACAAAACAAAAAAAATATGAGCCAACCAGGATTCCTAACCATGATGAAGAATATGCTAGTCTTCTGGATCTATACCTAACAACCAATCCCGAAATTTAAGGTATCCATTGGGATCTTCTGACCACAAACTCATTTAAATTATGAGTGAATTATCGATAAATGTTGGGGAACAATCTAAGCCGCGCAAAGTTTGGCATTACAGATCTGCTGAATGGGAGGATCTTCAAGACCACTTCCGAAATTTCCCCTGGCTAGATGTTTGTTTTAATGATCCATCAACTTGTGCTTCTGAAGTCGCGGAAGTTAAGTTATTCTATCATCCATGGATGCATATATTCCTTTTTTTATTGAAACAATCTTCTAACGGAAAACCTTGGTTCAACAAAAATTGCGAGCAAACTGTCGACTCCAAAAATCTCGCCTAACGGCAGTGGCGCAAAAATTCCAGTGCCAAAAACCAAAGTAGCTTTGTTATTGCTTGCAACAGCTACAAACTTGGAATAAATGAAAACAAAGAATTTTACAATCAGAGAATTAGAGGCAAACTGTTTGCCAATCCCCAACGGGTCTAGATCCTCCTGGTCGGTAGCAAAGCTGTCAATCAAAACTTTACAAAATCCACAATTCCACCACTAACACAAACGGATAGTTCAATTGCAACAACAGCCATAGAAAAAGCAAATCTACTAGCTGAACAATTTGCGTCCCACTCCACAGTTGATTTTCTGGGAAAGGCACCACACTAGAATCCACAATGCCGGATATTACTTTTCGCCAATGTGTAATCAGGCGAATTTCAAAACAGCTCAATATCAACAAGGCGTCCTGATGAAGTACCCGTCATCGTTCTTAAAAAGTGCGTAAATGAAATCGCACCAGTATTTTGCAGACTTTTCAACCTGTCATACAAGGAAAGGTCTACTAGCTGAACAATTTGCGTCCCACTCCACAGTTGATTTTCTGAGAAAGGCACCACACTAGAATCCACAATGCCTGATATTACTTTTCGCCAATGTGTAATCAGGCGAATTTTAAAACAGCTCAATATCAACAAGGCGTCTGGTCCTGATGAAGTACCCGTCATCGTTCTTAAAAAGTGCGTAAATGAAATCGCACCAGTATTTTGCAGACTTTTCAACCTGTCATACAAGGAAAGGGTTTTTCTTTCTTGTTGGAAAATTGCTCGCGTTCAGCCTATTCCCAAAAAGGGCAAGGAAAATCTTCCAAATAACTATAGAGCAGTCGCTGTGCTCTCAGTGATGTCAAAAATCATGGAGAAAGCCGTAAACCACCATATCCTCAAATATTCAGAAGGCTTTAACATCTTGAGCGGTCATCATTATGGCTTTCGGAAACAAAGATCAACAGGCGACCTTCTATCGTATGTCACCCATATTTGGAATAACGCAATCGAGAAATATGGGGAGTCAAGAGCTGTTGCGCTTGATATTTCTAAGGTCTTTGACCATGTGTGGCATGACGGTTTGCTGGCCCAACTTCGATGGTATGGCTTGTCGGATCATTTTTGTGTATGGCTCTCCAGTTTCCTGAAAGAACGTTTTCTGCAAGTGGCCTTAGATGGATATCTATTGAATATTTTTACCATCAACGCAGGTGTTTTCTAGGGATCCATATCGTCTCCAACCCTCTTTTTATTGTATACCAATGACTTATTGGATAAGGATCTTGAAGTGATTTCGAATTGGGGTGAAAATAACCAGGTTCAACTCAATGCCACAAAAACCGAGGCTTCAGTTTTCTCCAAAAAGATAAATGTCTCCGAACCGGATATAATAATGTCAGGACAGACAATTCCACTTTCTGGTTCGATAAGTTTGTTGGGGGTTTAAATTGACACCAATATGTTTTGGCACAATCATGTCGTTGAAATTGCCAAGGCTGCTTCTCAAAAGCTTGGTACGCTGTTCCGTAACATAAAACTGTACACACCTCAGAAACTTTTGATGTTTCATAAAGCTCAGATCAGAGCTTCTTTGGAGTATTGTTCTCATGTATGGAGCTCCGCCCCTAAGCATACTCTGAAGCTGCTGGATTCTAGCCAGAAATAAGCCATCCGTCTGATCGGAGACGCAAACATCACTTGCAACCTTGATAGTCTGGAACATCGAAGAAAAGTTGGAGATTTGTCCCTTTTCTGTAGATACTTTCTCGGAAAGTGTTCAAGTAACTTGGCACATTTGATTCCATCAAGAATGTTGTATATCAGAAATACGCGACGGACTGTGGCTGCTCATCGTTTTGAGGTTCAACTCAGTACACCTCAAACTTCACTGATGAGAACTCTTTCATTTAGAGAACTGCGTTCATGTGGAATAAACTTCCACTGGATTTAAATCCAATGTGAATCGCTTCTATCATAATTTTCAATATTTTTTTTCACAGATTCTTGGTGACACCTATACATTTGAATTTCTGATAACCTTTTCTCAAACGAAAGAAACATAACTTTTGTTCTGTGATGACCTCTCATCACCATATTATAACAAAATTAGAAAGAGAATATCTCCTCTCATTGGAATTTTATACAATATATNATATATCGTCAGTACCGGGCAGGCGGTCCTCGATTGAAGACAAAATGAGAAAAAACCAAGAAAGTATTTGATAAAAATAGCAAGCGAAACATAAGTGGAACAAAACAAAATAATAATAAACTTTTATAAATTATCATATATTAAACTTATTGAACCAAACTATTTATTGAACTTAAATTCAGTCTATCAACTTAAAAACAGTTATTTCATTCATTCTGTTAAAAATAATACAAAGAAATCAAACTTGAATTTTATTCGAATTGGACATATTCATAACCATACCACAAGACAAACCCAATTACTGTCAAACATTAAAATACATACAATTTTTGGAAAAGAATCAATATATCACGATGTGATCATTATATATAATTCAATTCCGGAGAAAATTTGCATTACAAAATTTTAATATCGATTGCATTTTTTTCTATTACTCTTGAATTCTTTTTTAACTTGTACTCTCTGATACCAATTTCATATTTGACTGCATTTCATTGTTTTTTTTTCAATATGTGTTTTATGTTAATTGTAAAATATCTTATTTCTGTTACTATTATTTTATACTTTATAGTTAGTTATAGTCCCTAATTATAAGCACTATTGTTTCTTGGGACAATAAAGTGAATTGAATTGAAATTTTCATCATCTGAAATTGATTAAAATGAATAAATATTCAAATATAAAATTGTGAAAAAAACGTTTTACGATGGTTTGTTTTATAGTAGAGCTAGTTCATTATATTTCGTTTTGAATGGTATATCATACAGTAATTAAATAATTCATCTATTTCTCAGGTTGATTATGATCCAAGGATAGAATCAACATGGTATGTTGGTGGAATGATCCCCCCAGAACATATTAAAAGCTGTCGAAGGGGTATGGAATGGATGAAACCTTATGAAAATGATCCTATTGATCGAGTGATGGTTTATTTTGGATCACCAAGTTTGACACTAAGATCTACCTTACCCCTACAGCCAATTATATCACAGAGCGAAGCACAAAACACAGACTTGAAGGTTCCATTTTTCAAGTTTGATCCCGTATCCGTTGGTAACTACACAGATCATAGGCATATTGCTAATATTCCAGGTACTTATCCATTTAATTTATATGTTTTATGGAAGGTTGAACAATTTATGATAGTACTTATTAGTTGAAAGGGCACATGAATTCTGTTGCTACACTGTTTTTCAAAAGTATTCAGTGAAATTCCTATAATGTCACAGTTAGGACGGTTGACTTCCCACATGAACCTTGACCTGGGTGAGAGGTATCCATAGTTAGTAGTGTGGTGATTAGGAACAGCAAAAAGATCATTGTTTCTAGTTGAACGAACAGGTACTCAGAAAGTGACTTCGTGTAATAGAACGTTACAATTAATGACACCTGCGATAATTTTAAATAAGGTAATAATATCGTTATTTGTTCTACGAAAAGAAAGGGTATGAAGATTCGCAATATCAAGTATATCTGAATAATCATATTCTCCAACTGCGAGGCCAGATTTGGAGACAACAAGTCTTAGAAATATATTTGTTCTGAATAAAATCAATTAGTGCAATAAATATAAACCCAAAGACGTAAGTCCACTGACAAAAGGTTTGCTAGTTCCAAATTGTTGATATGTTGTCTAGTTTTTAAAATGCAAAATGTCCAATTTCCCTTCCTCACCGCCGGTCGCCATCTTGTCACTTTTTCACATTCACTTTAGCTACACAACAGTTCTACTCAATGTTGTTGAGAATGAAATTCTCTAGGATTTATGGCTCCAAACTTCGTTTCAAGGACTGTTTCAAAAAATATGCAGGTAAAAAAATTAAATAATGGACTTTCCAGAAGTTTATTAAACTGCCATCTTTAGAACGCTTCACTTCAGTTATTTTAGCGAAACAATTATTAGGATGAAACTTGAAAAGATTCTCATTACCTACAGAAGACATTCAGATACCTTGTTACCACTTCCCAATAAATATCAGCAGCAGGGAAGAAAATCTTGATTTCCCCTTGATTTACCAACAAGCTCAATTTTACTGAACTACCTGTGTTCACAGAAGCACCACATTTCCATTCGCTGTCACATACCACTATGGAATGGAATGGTTGGGGATTATCATAGATCAAATCCAGTGGAGCTCATCAAGAAGAGTAGAGACGCTGCTCCCCCTAACGTCTGTTTAAAGGTGTTTGACAATTTTCGTTATTTATTTCATTACTTCGGACTTCCATTGTCTAATATTATATAAATTGATTTGAAATCCGTGAAAGAATGTATAAAAAAAATAAAGATTAGCTGAAAAAAAAACAATTATACCAAGCAAAAAAAATAAAATTTCAATGAAATAAAATACAAGCAACAATCAAAAAATAAAAAAATTCAACTATCAACACGAGGTGAAAATTAAAAATTATTAACAAGAAATGAAAATTAAAAAAAAAATATATTGAAAGATTCCAAGCCAAGTTACTTCAAGACGTTTCGATTGTTAGTATCTACAATCGTCTTCGGGTGATAATTGGACTTATTCCTCCGAGATCTGACTATTTATAGGTCATTCGAGTGCTTTCACCTATCCCTTCTCTCCGTTTCATCGGTTTTAGCGGGATCTGACCGTTTGACTAGGGTTTGTGATGTTCTGCTTGATTATAGGTTTCCATATGTTGCGTATCTCTACGCTAGGTTGGCTAAATGCGTTGTCGGACAATATATATGCGGCTTCTTTGAATTTTCTCCTAAACCAGTGTTCCTCCTTGTGGATGATTTCAGCTTGAGACCACTTGATGTTATGTTGATGAGTACAAACATGCTCTGCTATTCCTGATTTGCTGGTTTCTCCTCGCTGTGTGTGTTTCTTGAACTCGGCAATGCGAACTTTCAATGTCCTCTTAGTTTCACCGATATATGATTCTCCGTACTTGCAGGTAAATGCAATACTTGGAATTGCAGTACGTGTTTGGTGTCCTGGTTTTCGTGAGGCTGCTGCGGATAGTGTTCCCGGATCTGAAGCAGGTTCTGATGTTATACTTGAACCCAATTCTTCTTATTCTTTCCAACAATCCCCTCTGATGTAGGGAAGTACAAGTATTGGTTGTGGCGGATTCTCTTCCTTGTGAGGCTCTTGCTGTCTTCTAGCCAGAGTATATTCCTCCAAAGTGATGGTGGAACAGACTTTGGCCTCCCTACATATAATCCAACCCCGGACAAAACCTTCATGGGCCCATTAAAATCTCATAATAGCAAGGAATGAGATCGTTTTTACATCACAGTTCAAGGCCCTTGAGGGTTTTTGATATGATGGAGCTATTTGGCAGGACTTATCTTGAAGTATAACGTACTACAAGTACAACTGCAATGTTAATGGTTTCAAAGAGACTGGCATTCATCTTGTCAATGGAAATGTTTTCAACAGTGAAGATTTCATTGCTTCAACACTCACAGTTTCAAGGCCTGAAACCTATTTAACCAACACCTGCATTTCAAGTCCATCAACCCTATATGACTCACCTCAACCGTGTTCATCTTAAACTCCTGATGTGATTGTTCTTATCAAGCCAAAGTTGACCAATCTTGTCTTTCCCCTATAGAGATTTCACCCAAAAAAAAACACAGAAATCAAGTAGAGCCAGGAAAGCTGGTTCCTCCTCTATAAAAAAATATTCTCCATATAAAAAACAATTACAGATCGGATTGGAAGAAAAACAGGCAAAGATGAAATTTTGAGTTTTGAAAACACAGAAGAGAAAAAAGCTCAAAGACCCCCTGCTAAAAAAATTAACTTCAACCTCTCTTCTGAACCCAAGACTAAGGCGACTAATCCAACTAGTGATGACTTCAGCAACGATGATTCTTTCCATTCTGATGTGTCATTTTTAATGAACTACATGCCTCCAGGAAACGAAAGGGGCAACAAACACTGAGTGCGTCTTCTGTGATCGAAGATTCTCCGATAATTCCAAACGGGAAATTTGGATTCAGTGTTTGAGCTGCTTGGTATTTCATATTACCCTCCATTTGTTATCTTATTATTATTATTTTTTATAAACAAGAAAATCAATAAGAATCTTTGAAACTTGTTAAAGTTAACTACAGTCAGTTAATTATAATATGTGTTCATACTGATTTTGGGAGTTTTTACTGAAAAACAGTTAATTACATTAAAAAAAAATGTAGATGGTAATCCATAATACCCTACTCTCCTCTACTGTATCTCATATTCGTATATCAGGGATGCCTGCTCACTCAATAAAAGTTATTTATTTGAATTATTGATACTACCAGGTATTTTAATTCAAAAGTAATTTTTGTATTACAGGTTTTTGGCCAGGTGACCCTCACCAGTTCGGTATGTTATCATATCATAAACGGGGATACATTTTCGAAAGGGAAAGATATCAAGATGCCCAAGACGACAAAGAGGCTTTACATAGGCAAGGAATACTAGCCTCTTTTGGATGGTTGCAAGCCCAAGCGAACTTCTTGGGTTTTAATACTTTTAACGACATAACTTATCCTCTTGTCACCCAAACAATTATAACCAGTGGAAAAGTTTGGTCTTTTTATACTTACCAAATGAATACTATAGTTCTACACTCTGATAACATTACGGAAAACCCTACTAGAAATGTTTGCTGGGCGACTGAGGAGATGAATCTTTTTGAAAATATTGAAAATGACAAAATTGTAGGATTCAATGAAAATGTATTAAGTCATTTGCTCAAGTTTTACTGTAATGCCCCAGAGAGTAGGCTTGGAATCAATTTAACACCCTATTTGGATAATAAGGAAAAGTGCATTGCTGATTACGCAGAAGATGAAAAAAGGGAATGGTTAGAGAGAGAATATAAATATCTTGTTTCTAATCGACCTAGATTCAAACCTGTTTATGAAATTTACAGTTGGGAGAAAATTTATAAGATTGACAATAAAACACGGTTTATGGACAAGAAGCTTAGACCATTTGAATTACTTCAGAACCCATACAAAAGAAGATTGGATGACAGGCTAGCCAACTATATTCCTAGAAAACTTCGGCCAGATTTGCCGAGATGGAAAGGAAGATATGCTAAAGAATATTTCCCTTGAAGTATTGAATTGTTTTTCATTAAATCTTAGAAAATGAAAACTAATTTCGCGTAAATTCTGGAGTCTCTCAAGGATTGAACCTGGGTCCATTCATTTTTCTTATATTCATCAAAGATATAACTTAACATTGAAAGTACTCTGTGTGTCTGTTATTCGCAGACGACCTTAAAACTCACAAGACTGTCAAATTGCAAGAGGACATCAATAGTGTCTATCGATGGAGTCTAAAAAAAAATGAGCTACACATGTCCGTCCTGTCTTGTACCCGAAAACTAACTAAGACACTATAGGATTACTCAATGGAAGATATTGAATTATCCACGGTAGAGACTGTCAAAGATTTGGATATGTATTATAACTCCATAGTCTCCTATAAACCACATTTGGATTAAACAGCATCTAAGGCACTACGAATAATAGGATTTGTAATGAGACAAAGTGCAAATTTCAATGACATTAAAGCCATTACTACACTATATAATAGTTTGGTTAGATCTTAATAGATGAAAAAAAAATCGAAACTGATTATGAGATATTCATATTACAAAAAAACAAAGATTATACCTGGACTATAATACAATTAGATCAGTAGCACTACGAAATAAATTTAAAAAACCCAATCTAAACATGTGTTACGAAAAATATAGAAAATTATAACTGGCCCAATCTCAAATCTTTACTCAAAAAGAGAATTCCCAAAAGAACAAGACTCGTTTCAGTTCTTTGATGTACAATAGGTACTTATCAACAATTAACTGTTCACCCATCATTACAATGATCAAAACAAAAAACAACTTCCTTTCAGTGTCGGATATCAACTTTGTTCTGACTCCCAAACAAATTCATCATGGTCCAAAACACACTTTCAAAGCTTAGAATACCTTTTTTTTCATTCAGCTTTGTATAGCAGCTAGATACAATGTTACTGTATTTACGTATAGATATTAGAAGTCTTATTTATGATTCACTCTTAGACTGTATTCACAGTTTTTATACAAATTATTATTTTCATGTAACGAGGTATTCACCCGTTTGAAAATAAAATATTGCAAGTTGCAAGCAATGTTTTGTAGATTGTATCTACCTGCTGCGTTTCATAATCGTTTCTAGTAACTGTGCATTCAATTATCAGTTGTAAATTTATCTATTTTCATTTAATTAATTTATCTCTAACGAGAATGTACGTAGGGGAAGGTGGTGTACCTTGACACCCTTTGTACCTTCACCCATACAACTTTTTGAAAGGTTTCCAGGGTTCCCTGAAAGGTTTAACTGATGTTTCTTCTTCTTTTTCCATTAATGGCTTCAGCTGCCAGGGCTATCCAGCCCGGTGTTCCAGGATCATGTTGCTACTACAGGTGGAGCCCACACAAAAGTGGATCTGAGTTGGACCCAAACCCCACCTAGTTTTGCGCTAAAACAAAGTTCGACTGTAGTTTGAGGTCAGTTAACAAGCAATGTCCGCCTGCACTAGAGTGTAAGCACTAATGTGAGGTGATGCACTACGGTTACGTGTATGGACACTACGATCAGGTCATGATTGGCGAAGCACTGCATGCGCACAAGTATTAGGTTTGTCTTGATTACTACAGCTTTATATTGGATGCAATCAGGAATTTGGATATGGTTTGTATGTTAGATGGTGATATATGTTTGAAAAATATATCGTGGAAGGTAAGAGGCTGAATGGTTGAAGGAGGGGTGCTAAGAGAGGCATGAAGTATTTGTATAATATGAGAATTATTAGGGCAGGCAAAGAATATATGTAGGAGAGTCTGTATTTCCCCACATTCGCAGCGGTCGTCATCAACTATCTTAATTTTGTGGAGATGCGCTTTATTGAGGGAATGAGTGCTCCTAATTTTGCACATATTAACGATTTCTTTACGAGAACAAGTAGTCAGATCCTTGAATCATGGAGTTTTGTAAGGTTGTGGTACGGAGGAAAAGTAAAGTTTGGCTTTGAATTGTCCGTCCCCACTATATTGATTGGTCCAGTCTATCCAAATATTATGTTTCAATAATGCTTGAAACTCTCTATAGTCTGCTTGAGGATGATTAGAGAGTGGATGATTTCTTCCAATATTGGCTAAAGTATCGGCTATATCATTACCCTTGATGTTGGAATGACTAGGAATCCATACCAAATGTATGCTGAATCCCTTATGGTTTAGGTTGTGTGAAAAAACTCCAATGCCAACATTACCGTGTTCATCTTTAGATCCATCGGTGAAAAAATATGTGTGATTGGCAAATTGTTTGTTTGTCTATGGTAGAATGACAGTTTGTTTAGAACAATCGACATGAAGTTAGTTGTTGTCATTCATTCTGCTTCGTTTTGTCATGATATTACTTTAAAAGTTTTTGCTGGTAAAAGTAAGTTTTTTTAATTTTTTTGTTTTCTTAACAACTGACCTAATCGAGTTCTGTGATCCTTGATCATGATCAAGGTACAGCGGGATTCCTTGGATACAAAATCAGTGATTTCTAATTTTATATGAAGGAATTTACAGTGCCGGTGTTCGTATTTAAACTTATTGCTGCCTATAACATTAAGTATCTATACGTAGCTTGTTTTAATTCAGGTAATATGCCTTGCAGCAAGAATAAAAACAAAAGGATCCTAGTCGACAAGTATAAACGTTTGAGTGCTATAAAACTCTTAAAAAAAGACCTTTTTCTATTAGAGCGGCTGCATAATTTCTCTGAAGAGAAATTATGAGTCTTATTTAAAATCAGTTGCCGACGTACCAAGCCTTCTTCATGATAATTCAGCTATGAGTCAATTTTTTATAAAAATGGAAGAAGTCCTCTATGTGGATTATATAAAAAAAACTGTAAAATTACAATATCGCCTGAGAATTATGCTGTTGGTGACTTTGTTATCTTTAATTATAATTGGCAAAATAGAATATATCTGCGCCCTTATAAAATCATGTAAATCTCTCAAAAATTGGAAATGGCCAGAAAGAAAAGATTAGAACTTTTACCAATGGTCCGATATTTTAAAGAAAGTTGAAACGTCAAAAAAAAATTATTCTAAAAGAGAATGCCATTCTGTACCGGAAATGAATAAATATTGGGTTGGCAGTTCACTTAAAAACAAAACGTAAAAACAAATAACTTAAAAAACTTTGTGATCTGAATATGAAGTTCCTACTTTAGATTTTATAGATAATAGATACATTTGTGATATGATTATAAAGTTCTCAATTTAATAAATAAATGATACTACTTACGTTGATGTTCCTAGGTTTCTATCAGATTTCACTTAAATACTATACGAATTTGATTCATAAAGTATCTACTGGTTATTAAGATATATTTTATATGTTTTTCAATAAATTTTTGTTGATTGTAGACATACTAAGAGTTGTGAACAAAAAAACTTGAATTTTATTAAAATTAGTCAATAAATAGTTTTTTATTTCAATGGACCACCACCTATGATCAATGTACAAAACATATGTCCTAGTACTATTTTTTCAAACCAATAATTTATATATAAAACATTCACTTAGGCGATTGTAAAATTTATATTACGTGTTTTTTAGTTGGACTTTCAGATTCTGTACATTTTATATAAGTTTGCGTATCATGATATTAGTGTGAAAAAATATTGAAGCATAATGGTATCGAGGTACAGCATCTTCCCCTCTCTATTATTTGCAATTATAATGCACTCATTATCTTCCAATTATTTTCAACCTGCATAAAAGGAAGAATTGGGGTCCCTGTTCCCTACTGGTATTTGTGTAGTCGTCAACACTTGCCGAATTTATTTAGGCCAAAATTCTTCTCCCGATTGTACTTCCTGATAATAGTTGGTAGTGTAACAGCATAGTTACAATTATGTTGTGGTAGTGGACAGTTACCATTTCTCTTTTTCGTTCGCATGTGTTAGAGGCATAGCTAGATTTGCCAAGCTATACGATGTACGACATAACATTCTCAAAATCGTCAAATCCAGTAAAAGTGGATTTAAGTTGTTGTAGTAAAGTCGGTTTGGATAACTACCGTGGAAAATAACATGGTGCTGATAGTTTGTGCTACGAGCGTCACTGTTGAATAAAAAACAATTGAAAAAAGGGATCATTTCAACAAAAGAACATATACTGATTTCTGGCTTAGGGGTACACCCAGTTCAGATATCGACAGGATCGTGATTATAAGATTTGGGACATTGAAAACAAGCAAGTGAACGGTTGAATGTAATAAAGGATGTTGGATACCTGATGTTGGGTAGAGGGGAAGAACAACTCCTTTATTCGGATAGGAGTTGAACCCTGCGCTTTGGCGCTACATTTTGTAGTTTCAATGAAGAATTTGTAATAATCTCATTTCTAGTACGTCAATAAAAACATTTATTGTTAGTATTACTTAAATAGTCCCCTTTCCCCGGTAGCTGTGACCGCTGTGTGAACCTGTGGTTCAAGCCGCGGAGCGGTACGATCGATTTCCACTTCCTATCGTCAAATATGTGCTAGAAATTGCACGTCAAAATTTAAGTCCCCTGTTATTCTTGGCTCGAACAAGTTTCGTCTTCTGAGAGTTGTTGTTCCTAGGGGGGCGACAGCTGGTTAATGGAAAAACTTAAACAGATGTTTTTGAACGGACAAAAAATTTACGTGAAAATGCTTCATTGATAAGAAAGGCATTAGTGTTGTATCACTCATCGTCAAAAGGGCGGGCGCTATCACCTTTGATTTTCAAATAGAAATTGGAATCTCATGATACCTCATTCAATATAGGTAATTCAATTCTTGATCCAACAGTTTCACTTTCGAAAATCGGTTCAGCCGTTCTAAGGACGTCAGCAGTTCGGAATGTTTGTTCATAAAAATAATTTGAAACATTTGGTAACACATTGCAAAACTTGATACCTTTATAGTAAATCGAATTTTGCCCAATACCTATTTGTTTCAATTTTAATTACTTACAGATTCCCTGACTATCTTGGCGAACGATAACTATGAATTTTGCAAGTCAGATTTAAATATTTGATATTATGTTTGCCCAAATGATAATTTGCATTCATGC